AAAATACAGTCTCTCTCTCTCTCTTCCTTCTCCTTCTTCTCTTCTTCTCTGCCTCCCTTCCTCCTTTCCTCCCTCCCTCCCTCTTTCTCTCTTCCCTCCTGGCCCTGTTTCTCCAGAGCTCCTGATGAATACAGAGGCCAGCTCAGCAATAAACGCCAGTGCCAAGGGCGCACGGCCTTGACCCTGGGCCAGCAGTCACCACGCACAGAATCCACCCTATAGATGGGCTGGGGTGGAGCAGCTGACCTTCGTACAGTTGTTCACTGCACCAGTGTTTACTGAAACAAAAGATTGGAAACATCCACCTGTCCCCAGGGTCAAATTCATCATGGCAAAATAAAACCATATGTTGGAACACACTCCTTTAAGTAACATACAAATAAAGTCAAATGAGCAGGAAGCTGTCAGTTTACTAAAGGCGAAATAGCTCCAAGATAAATAAATAAATTTGAGCGGTCAAGGACAAAGCACGGGGCTATGACATGCTTCCTTTTATATGAGAAAGGAGGAAAAGATATACATTTTCAAAAAGCAAATTCGATAGTGGTGCTTGCCTGTAAACCCAGGACTTGGGAGGCTGAGACAGGAGGATCATCATGAGTTAAAGGCCTACGGGGCTGGGGATTTAGCTCAGCAGCACAGCACCTGCCGGGCAAGCATGAAGTCATGAGTTCGATTCCTAATACCAGAAAAAAAAAAAAAAAAGAGTTAAAGGCCTAGACTACATAGTGAGTTCAAGGCCAGCCTGGAATACATAGCAAGAAGGAAAAAAAAAAGTAAGATTTGGGAGATGTACAAGAGCTTGTGTCAGATGGGGCAAAGGTATGGGGTAAGACTTTGCTCTGATAATTCTGGAGGGAGGGACAGGTGGTACTGGGGATTGAACCCAAGGCCTCATACATGCTAGACAAGTGCTCTTCCACTGAGCTACAGCCATAGCCCTTTTTATTTTATTTATTAATGTATTTATTTTATTTATTAATGTATTTATTTTATTTATTAATGTATTTATTTATTTATTTATTTATTTATTAATGTATTTATTTTGAGAGAGGGTCTTCCTAAGTTCCTAAGTTGTCCAGGCTGGGCTTGAATTTGTGATCCTCCTGCCTCAGCCTTCCAGGTGAGATTACAGGTGTGTGCCACTATGATCAGCATCTGGATCCTTTTTAAAAAGATTTCATATTTGAACCTATTAATGACCCAAATATATTAATGATTCAAACATTCAAAAAGCAAATTCGATAGTGGATATAGTTCAGCGGCACAATGCCTGCCTGGCAAGTGTGAGGTCCTGAAAAAAGTGTCTTTTTTTTTTTTTTTTTTTTGGTCTTTTTGAGACAAGGTCTTGCTATGCAGTTCAGGCTGGCCTTGAGCTCACTTTGTAGTCCAGGCTGGTCTTGAACTTGCAGCGATCCTCCTGCCTCAGCCCCCTGACTGCTGGGACTATAGGCATGCGCCACCACACCCGGCAAAAAAGTGTATTTTAAGAAGCACAGACAAAAAAACAAAGGAAATACAGCAGAATGTTAATCAGATCAGGGGCATTCAAGCAATTTTTAAAAGCTTTTATGGTCCAATGTTTCTTGTTTTACCGCAAGAAGTACACGCTCATTTTGCAATTTAAATACGTAATAAAGGGCAGCTTACCAGCTGGCCCTCGAGCCCCACGAGTCGGGCCGGGCCGGGCCGTGGGGATGTCTGGCCAGTGCGCGGGCGAGAAGCGCCGCAGCGAAGACGGCGGACTCCGCGCTCGGTGCAGGGCGCGCAGGGCGCTGGGCCCCGCTGTCGGGGTCTCGGACCGGTCCCGCGGCCCCTGAGCGGATCGAGACCGCCCCAATTCCTACCCCGAGCCCGGCCGGCCTCCGCACTGCCGGTCCCTCCCGCGGTCCACTGCGCCCCACCGCGCGCGGCCTGGCCTGACCCCACCGGCCTCGGTCGCCGGGGCCATCTACTCGCGCCCGACCCGCTGTCCTCGGCTGACCCGGCGGGGCGGCTGGGGATCCGCGCGCCTGCAGGGGCCGCCTCCTCCTCCTACCCCTCCTCCCCGTCGCGCCGCCCTGACCCTGGTACACGCTCTCCCGCCCGCCGCCAGCCCCCGGCCCCGCCCCTGAAGAAGGACCCGAGGCTGAGCGGGTGCCAGCGACCCTGGCGGCGACCCTGGCGGTGCCCAGGCGAGGGCGCTGGGCTGCAGCCCTGGCCCTGTGTCGCGTTCCTCGGGAAGAGCACACATTCCAGGGACCTTTGCTTTGTTTTGGGTTTTTAGACAGGGTCTCCCTGTGTAGTGCAGGCTGGCTTCGAACTCACGGCGATCCTCCCGAGTGCTGGAACTACAGGCGCGCGCCACCACGCAGGGCGAGGGACCGTTTCTTTGTTTTAAACTTCGCCCTGCGTCCAGACCGGCCGCTCCCGCCCACCTCCTTCCCTGCCTGGGCCCAGGAGAACTGTCAGTTCCTCTCCACCCGACACCCCACCCCCACCCCCAAACACACACACAAATTCCCCAGCTCCTCCCTCCGTGCATCCAAGGCCACTGTCCTCCAGGGCACAATTAGCTTATCTAGCGGCCAATTACCGCCCAACCTTTCCCTCTTCCTCTTTCCACAGCAGCTGGGGGAGGGGCGGGGGGGGGAGGGCGCACCACTGTCAGGGTGTTGGAAGTCCAGAGTTGGAAGAGCCCAGGATCTCAGAATCGACTCTGAGATCTGGGTCTGGAGGAGGGCGAGGAAGAGGCTGTGAGTCTTAGGAAAGGTAGGGTCCTGGGGACGGGGGAGGGAGGGAATATCGCTGATGTATTTGGGGTAACCTGGAGAAGCTCCTTGGAGCAGGTGGCCTCTGAGTTGGACCTCGAGGGCAGGGTGGAAGGAGACAGCCATCGGTCATGGTCAAGGCGGCAGGTGCGTGTGGAGGGGTGTGTGCACACACACGCACATGGCAGCTGGGAGCTGGTGGTGGAAAAGCTGTGGACACCCATCAACTGGGGAATGGAAAAACAAGATGTGCTAAATTTATACAAATGGACTATTACTTGGCCATGAAAAGTATTGTGGACATTTATATCTAAATGTCCCCCCAAATCCTCTTGTGCTCATACGTGGGGCTGTCGGAGGTGATTAAATCATGGGGGCGTGATACTCATCAATAGGTTGGTCCTCTGAGGAGTTTATAGCTAATGGTGATGTTGGGGGGGGTGGAGCCTGGAGGAGGAGAGTCGCTGTGGGCGTGGCCTGGCAGGGTCTGTCTCCTTCCTTCCCTTGTTCTCCCACGTGATGTTTGCCCCTCTGCCATGCCACCTGCCTTGGAGCCAGCCAACGATGGATCTGCAAACCCTGAGTCAAAATGAACCTCTCCTCCTTGGAGTCGGTGTCAGGTATTGTGCCTCAGCAAGGAGAAAGTGACTAAGACAAAAAGGAATGAAACACTGATACATGCTACAGTGATGACCCTTGAAAATATTATACTTGCTGGACATGGTGGCCTACGCCTGTAATCCCAGCACTCAGGAGGCTGAGGCAGGGGCATCGTTGTGAGTTCGAGACCAGCCTGGGCTACAAAGTGAGCTCAACGCCAGCCTGAACTACATAGTGAAATCCTGTCTCAAAAAGACCAAAAAAAAAAAAAAAAGAAAAGAAAATGTTATACTCGCAGGGTGTGGTGGTGATCACCAATAATCCCAGTATTTTGGGAGGCTGAGGCAGGAGGATTGCAAGTCCAAGTCCATCCTGGACAACTTCGAGATTTAATGAGAACTTATTCCAAAGTTTAAAAAGGGGCAGGGGCTGAGATGTAGCTCAGTGTGAAGGCTCAGTGTGAAGGCTGAGATGTAGCTCAGTGTGAAGGTTCAATCCCAAGTACCACAAAAGAAAGGAAAAGGCTATACTCAGTGAAAGAAACCAATCACAAATGTAGGATTCTATTTATTTGAAAATGTCCGGAACAGGCAAACCCATAGTTTTGAATCTGATGAAAAGTAGGTTAGTGAATGCCAGGGGGTGGGTGCGTCGGGAGAGTGACTGCTAACGAGTCTTTCAGGGGAGAATGTTTAGGAGCAGCGTTCTGGAATTAGATCATGGAGATGGTGGCACAACCTTGGGTATATTGTAAAAGCTACTGAATTGCACACTTCTTTTTTTTTTGAGACAGGCTGGCCTTGAACTCACTATGTAGCCCAGGCTTACCTCAAACTCTTGGAGATTCTCCTGTCTGAGCCTCCTGAGAGCTAGGATAACAGATGTGTGCCCACACACCTGGTTCACAATGGCTCTGATCCAAACGTTCTGTTTCCTGTGAGTCCCTGTGAGTTCTCTTCTGTTTCCTGTGAGTCTGTTTCTAGGACAGTATGGGCATAACCATAGATGCTTAAAACATATTTGCTGAATAAATGAGAGTAAGACCAAGGCTGGATTCAGACCTTCCCAGACCTTGTGTATTAAAAGGGTTACAGCAACTCCTCCATTGTAATCGCAAAGATACGAACTAAACTGTAAAAGGAGTATAGGAAATGCCGTCAGTGCCGATGAAGGGTGCATGCCTGTAATCCCACGTACTCAGGAGGCTGAGGCACAGTCCCAGGCCAGCTTGAGTGATTTAGTGGGATCTTGTCTCAAAATTAAATAAAAAGGCCGGGCATGGTGGCACACCTGTAATCCCAGCATTCAGGAGGCTGAGGCAGGAGGATCATTGCAAGTTTGAGACCAGACTGGGCTACAAAGTGAGCTCAAGGCCAACCTGAACTTCATAGCGAGACCCTATTTCAAAAAGACCAAAAATAAATAAATAAAAAGGGCTGGGGTTATAGCTCAGTGGTAGAGTGTCCCTGGTTCAATCACCAGTACTAGGGGGGGAAAAAAAAAAAAGAAAGATGGACATGGTGGTGCATGCCTATAATTTCAGCACTTCAGGAAGCTGAGGCAGGAGGATCACAAATTCAAGCCCTGGGCAACTTAGTGACTTAGAGAGAACTTGTTTCAAAGTTTAAAAAAATTAAAGAGGGCTGGCAATGGCAGCTCAGTGCAAAGGTCCTGGGTCCAATCTGCAGCACTGAAAAAAAGAAAGAAAGGAAAAGAGAAAAAAGAAAGAAAGGTTCTGATTTTTCCTGATGGTCATTTGCTGTTTCTCCCTCTCCCCTCTCCCCTCTCCCCTCTCCCCTCCCCCCTTCCCCCTACCCCTCTCTCTCAGGTTCGCTTCCTTTTGGTCTTGCTTGCCAGAGGTAACTGGGCCGGTGGAAGCAATGGGATGGCATCATCTCCGGGGGGCTGGGCCAGGCTGTCCTGGCCCTGCTGTGCAGATGGGTTTGGAGCCGCCAGTGGGCGGGCGGAGTGTGAGTGACAGCGGGCGGTGCAGAGGCAGCGCAAGAGTCCGGTGGGATGCGGTCAGATGAAAGGGCAGGGGCAGGCTCCTGGGAGCAGGTCCTGGAGAGGGCCGGAGGAGACAGCAGTGGCTCCCAGGGCACATGGAGGTGGCGGCAGTGGGGCCGGTGAATAAGTGCAGCAGGGTGTTCCAATAGGATGGCCCCGGGGGAAGGCCACAGGTGCAGGAGTCACCCGGGGCTCCAGGGCCAGCCGGGAGTTGGAGGAGGAGACGGTGCTCGGTTGGGGGTGCTATTGTTAGCTGGCCTGGAGCACAGCAGGCACACCCTACAGGCTAAGCAAGGATTAGAGGTCAGCATGCAGGATTTCGAGGTGTTTGCCATGTACAAAAGACAAGACTAGGGCTGACCCTGGAACCCGGGGCCTTGCTCATGCTCGGCAAGCACTCTACTTCTGAGCTCTATCCCCACCCCTCTGGTTATTTTTTTTTTCTCACAAATCATATTTTACTAAAGAAAAAAAACATCCCTTATCTTGGCATGGTGGCGTACACCTGTGATCCCAGCATTCAGGAGGCTGAGGCAAGAGGATCTATGCAAGTTAGAGGATAGCAGCACAGGTAGGCTGCGTAGTGAGTTTGAGGCCAGCCTGACCTAAATAGCAAGACCTTGCGTTAAAAACAAATAAATAAATAAAAGATATGATGCAGACACAAACTCAAGATTCTTTTTTTTTTTTAATTTTTTTGGTTGTTGTTGTTGGTTTTGGTTTTTCTCCGGTACCGGGAAGCGAACTCACGACCTTGCGCTTGCCAGGCAGGTGCTTTGCCGCTGAGCTAAATCCCCAGCCCTTTTTTTTTTTTTGAGACAGGGTCTTGCTATGGAGTTCAGACTGCCCTTGAGCTCACTTTGTAGCCCAGGCTGGTCTCGAACTCACAATGATCCTCCTGCTTCAGTGGCTAAAATATCCAAATTACTTATTGCTTAGTGAAGCTGTTAAATATCTGGTAAATCAGGTGGCTTTTGTGGCACACACATGTTTTTTTTTGTTTTGTATTGTATTGGGAATCAAACTCATGATCTCAGGCTTGCCAGGCAAGCACTTATACCTCTGGGCTACATCCCCAGCCCTCAAACTCAAGCTTCTTAACCTCAATTTCAGGTTCATCTTGGCTTGCTAAGATGCTCTAAAATTCTCTAGATAAACCATTTCCTTGTGAAAGTGTATAAACAGCCTGAGTTATTTAGCCACGGCCCTTCCGATTTTTTATTCTGAGACACAGTGTTGCCCCTGTTGGCCTCCAGCTTGCCATTCTCTGGCCTCAGCCTCTGAAGTAGCTGAGATTCCAGGCGTGTGCCACCAGGTGAGCCAAGTGTCATGGTACTTGCCTGTAATCTCAGCACTCTGGTAGGCTGAGGCAGGAGAATTGCAAGTTCTGCTCAGCCTGGTCCGTTTCTTATGTTTCAAAATTAAAAGAAAAGGGCTGGGGATGGTGGCTCAGTGCAAAGACCTTGGGTTCAATCCCCAGTTGTGAAAAATAATAATAAAAGTTGGGGAACGGGGCTGGGGATTTAGCTCAGCGGCAAAGCGTCTGCCTGGCAAGTGCAAGGTCGTGAGTTTGGTTCCCGGTACTGGAGAAAAACCAAAAAAAAAAAAAAAAAAAAAAGGTGGGGAAGGATTTTTGGCTCAGGATTTCTTAGCAAAATAAGAGAGGGGCTAGGGCTTAAAAGGTCTCCTGCCCTTGGGAGAAAGCCCTTCCAATGTGTTCATTTGTTTCACCCTGCATAACTCCTGCTCTACAAACAAGGAGGGCCTGCTAGGGACCACTGGGAGGGCCAGAGTAGCAGAACTCAGGGAGCTCCTGACACCTAGCTGGTAGCAGTGGGAACCTGGGAATGTGGACAGCAAATATTCACGCTGGATCTTGAATCCAGGATCCTGGTGCTTCCTGCTTGGGGTAAGGATGAAAGAGAACTGTGGGTCAGTCTGGGTCTTCCTCAACCCTTAATATTTCTGGGTGCCATAGTTTTTGTTTTGTTTTGTTTTGTCTTTTTGAGATAGGGTCTCACTATGCAGTTCGGGCTGGCCTTGTGTAGCCCAGGCTGGCCTCAAACTCGCAACGATCCTCCTGCCTCAGCCTCCTGAGTGCTAGGATTACAAACATGCACCACCATATCTGGCCAAAGATTTTTTTTTAAGGAAAAGGAAAATATTCATATGCATATGAAATCTAAGACGACAGCATTTGCAAATGGAAAGGCATTGTACAAACTGTGCAGCACGTAAAACACCAGGCCCTTGATCTCCAGAGTGGCCTGTGATGGTCCTGGGAGCTTGTGGAACCCCCCTCCCCAATACTCTGCCTTCACAGCCCCTCCCTCCTAGCTGTGCTGCAGAAATGCCAGGCTGCTTTGGACCCACAGGCCAGTTCATCCGTCCAAGTGCCCTGTGACCTGTGAAATGAGCTGGCTCATGACATAGAGCAGATTTCCAAGTCACTTCCAAGGCCCTTCCTCTTTTAACCTCAGGCCCTTTATACTCGCAGAGGTTCTACTGTTACAGACAGCTAAGTCAGGCAGAAAGGAGGCCCATCTGAAGAAGATTAAAGTCACAGGGCCAGATTTACCTACTGCCTTAAGGAACGGAATAGGGGTTTGGGATTATGGGTGTTAGCCCTTAGAGCTTTCCCATTGTCTCCCTGGGGTGAGCCATCCTCTCCCACCCACTCTGACTAAGACCACCAAGACAGACTAAGACTGTAAGACTAAAGACAAGACTGACACTACGATCAGCCAAGGTTAATGATGTCACCCATGTGCCCTTGCTACCCCTGGATCAATATGACTCTACTTGCAATCTTATTGGTTGACCATAATTTTGACCCACATTGTACCCGCCTCGTGATTTTGCTCTATAAAACTTCCTTTGAGAGGTGGGCTGGTTGGCAACCCATTCGGGACCCCTCCTGTCTCTCAGGAGCTATTTTCCTATTCCCTATTCCTATTCTTGCTCCCCATTTCTATGCCTCAATAAATTTTCCCACTCTTAACCTCCATTGCTCCTTAGAATTCATCCTTTGATTTCAGGGAACATGGACTCGGTCTATCTGACATCTAGCATTTCCCCTACATCACTACCACCAACAATCAGCTCTCAGAAAGGATTATGTAGGGGCATGGTGATATATACTTATATAATCCCTGCTACTTGGGAGGCTGAGGCAGGAGGGCTACGAATTCGAGGCTGGCCTGAGAAATTTAGCAATACCCTGTGTCAAAATTAAAAGGGCTGGGGCTGTAGCTCCCTGGCTTCAGTCCTCAGTACTGCACACCTATGTCCACACTCACTGACGCCCACACACGGGTTACTTCCTCTCATGCATGACGTTGGTGTTATTTTACGACAGGGTCTTGCTACACAGCCCAGGCTGGCCTTGAATTTGCCATCCTCTTGCCTCAGCCTCCTGAGTCACTAGGATCACAGGCATGGGCCACCACACCTGGCTATTCAGTGTCATTTTCAGTGAGACAAAAACATTACTCAGCGTGAGCACATATCGAAGATTTTACTCTGACAGGGGCCCAGCAGGAGGCAAAAAGTCAAAGGAAGGGTCTAGAAGCTCTGAAAGTGGGAAAGCCGGGATAAACAGGCTCAGGAGCTAGCTAACGTCTGAAGGGCAGTGAAATCATGACCCCGGGGACTAGCACCAACCTCCCCCAGCTTTTGCCAGTTCTCATGTCACCTCTGGGCTCTGCTCGGTCACACTTGCCTAGAAAAGAGGGAATCCTTGGATGGGCCTGTGAGCCAGTGTGACACTGAGAGGACATTGAGACGGCCTTTTGCCTTATTTCCAAATTCTGGATAATTTTTCTTAACCCATGTGGGGCAAGAATCTACAAGTGACCTTTGGAGGGCCCATGACAGGACTCACCTCCCACTCTGGATGGGCGTGTGCGTCTTTAGGGGGAGGGATTTGTAGGTGTCATTAGGTTAGGTTATCAAGGCCGTGACCCCTCCCTGTATAACTCAGGGTGTCACCTGCTTCTCCCACCTTCTCCTGCAAAGGGGGAAAGTTGGCTTCCTGACACTACAAGAGGATCACACTCCTACCGCCCGTCCCAGTCCTGAGGTCCCCATGTCTAGGACCTGGCAGTGCAGGCAGAAATAAGGCTGGCCCGGCCCTGGCTATGAGCAAGGCAGGATGCCAACTTTTCTTTTTGTTTTTTTGAGACAGGGCCTGTCTATGTAGTTCAGGCTGGCCTTGAACTAACCCTATGGCCCAGGCTCACCTCGAACTTGCTGGAATCCTCCTGCCTCAGCCTCCCAAGTGCTGGGATTACAGATGCACACCACCATGCACAGTAAGGCAGCCTTCTAATAGCATTCAGTAAGTCATTTACTGCTCTGTGCTCCACCCACCACAAGATGACAGAAGAAAGCTCAAGGCCTAGCCTGAACAAGCGCTCTCCAGGTGGACTATGCTGGCTGGGGCCTCAAGGTGTTTTAGGGTCTCAGGTAATAATGGTGATCTTTAAATTATTGTGACCAATTAAAAACCTTCATACTCTGGGAGGCTGAGGCAGGAGGATTGTTGCGAGTTCTAGACCTGCCTGGGCTACAAAGTGAGCTCAAGGCCAGCCTGAACTGCATAGGGAGACCCTGTACTGGGCTGGGGATATAGCTCAGCAGCACAAGCACCTGCCTAGCAAGCTTGAGGTTCTGAGTTCGATTCCCAGTACCAAAAAAAAAAAAAAAAAAAAAGAGCCCCTGTCTCAAAAAGATAAATAAATAAATAAATAAAACCACGGGCTCCCTGGAGGGAACATAATCGCAGCTGGAGCTTATACGATGCCTACAGTGTACCTGAGAATGCCTCTGGTGCACTGCCTGATGTCATTCATGTCATCTTCCTTACCATTTTCCAAGACAACTTCGGCTCTCCCATTTTACAGACCAAGAAACCGGGTGCACAGAGGTCTGAAGTTTGCTCCGACAGGAAGTGGCAGAGTCAGAACTGAACTCGGGCCAAGTGGTTCTGGCGTTCATGCTCCCAAGACTGCTTCTCCAAACACACAGACGAACTAAAAGAAGAGAAAAAGGAAATGGCAATGGAAAGGCTTGTGCTCTTGTTTGTGCCCTTGCCGAATTCTCACGTTTATTCTTTTTTCCTTTCCTCTCTGCCTTCCCTCCCTCCCTCCTTCCTTTCTAGCCTCCTGCTTTAGCCACTCAGGGTGCTAGGATTATAGGTGTGCACCACTGTGCCTGGCTCAATGCCCTCATTTTTTTTCTTTTTTTGGTCTTTTTGAGACAGGGTCTCCCTATGCATTTCAGGCTGGACTTGAGCTCACTTTGTAGCTCAGGGTGGTTTCGAACTCGAGATGATCCTCCTGCCTCAGCCTCCCAAGTGCTGGGATTACAGGCGTGCGCCCTCATTTTTTTAAGTGAAGACACTGAGGCCTGTGAGGATTACAAAAGATCCAGGCAGCCACCCCAGGCTCTGATGCCTCTGGTTGTAAACCCGGCGCTCACAGGTTACCAGGTCACAGGACGAGCCTGTTGGATTACACACAGTTTGTTCCAATGGTCTTTCCGGTGTGCACCTCTGGCTGCCTTAGGTTTGCTTTCCTTGCATTACCTGTTTGTCCTCGTCAACCCCGATGATGCTGGCTGGGCAAACATCACCTCTGCTATTTACTCAAAACTCTTAATAGGGGCCAGGGATCAAGTTCAGGGGACTCCAGGCTTTGGAGAGGGGCAGAAGCACAGTGCCCTGAGACTGCAACATTGTTTCCTATGGGACAGGGAGCAGCCCTGCAATAGATCTTACACACTTTGGATCAGAGTTTTCTGGGAGCTGGCTGACAAAGGTGGCTGCAGGGACAGCGGGGCTCAGCTGTCTTCTGGGCGGGGCATTGGCTTTCCACACTTTGTGTCATCTATTTAGGTGGGACAATAGTGTTGGTGGTTATTTTCTTTCCTTTTGTTTCATTTTTAAAAATTTTTAACTTTACTTTCTGCTCTTCTTCCTCTTGATTTTTTTCCCCCAGTGTATGTTATCTTATGTTTAAAAAAAAAAATACTAAACTGGGCGTGGTGGTGCACTCCTGTAATCCCACCACTCGGGAGGCTGAGGCAGGAGGATTGTTGTGAGTTCGAGACCAGCCTGGGCTACAAAGTGAGCTCCAGGCCAGCCTGAACTGCATAGCGAGACCCCATATAT